ATACTTGGTAACCGTGGGCAGGTTCCTGACACTCTCTGGGCCTCAGGTTTCTCTTCCACACATCTGTGTCGACAGCACCTACATCACAGCGTTTGGCAATTGCACGAATGAAGCCTATCAGCAAAATGCCTAGCTCACAGTTAGCATTTGGACACCATAACTGCATTTCTCCTTACCCTTTATAATATCTCAAGGTCATCTGTATAAACACCAAAAATGTACTGAGCTCTAAGTGAGGGATGCCTTCAGGTCACACTAACATGTGCATAGCTTCTTCCTGTTTAAATGACTCTGAGCTGCATTACCTATTGTCTGGCTGTCACTGCCTTTTATACTTCTCACTTTTTTCTTCTCCAGACTTCAGGGGCTGCACCATGCTCCCATATCTACACCTATCCCTAGCAACATGTAGCCTCATTCTGGCTTCTGGTGCCCTGAGAAGCCAGGTGACTAGGCCTGTTGGAAATGCATATCAAATACAGGTGCTCATTCCTGAGATATGTAAGTCTTCCCTACAGTTAAAGTACACTTAGTATACTAAATGAAATAAGATATGGAGTATATGTGATTCATCATTTTATACATCAATTATGGTAACATATTATATACTATATAAACAGGGACCTGTGCTATCATGAAAGAGGCATAAATTTTTTATAAATCTTATAAATTATATGGGAGCCTAAGTTTCTTTATTGTAAAATAAGAAAAACAATGTTGTTTCCTTGTTCACAATTTGGGGCTAAGATTTAATGAATCTGTGTTACTGGTGAAAGTGTGGAATGATACATCTAAAGAAGAGTATGTCAACATCTAACCGACTGCATATGCCTTTACCCTTTGGTGCCAGTGATCCCACTTTTAAGAATTTCCCCTGAAAATACATCTCCACAAATACCAAGCAACATGTGCACAAGGGTATTTGCTACAGTCCTATTTGTCATAACAAATGATGGGAACAACCTACGTGTCCATAGGATCCTGCCTGAATACACCATGGCACAGACACATGCTGAGGCCCCACAAAGGAGTGACACAGTCTACAAAGCGACACAGAGTGATTTCTGGGATGTATTAAAGTAAACAAAACCAGAAGATGTCGAGTACATCTATTATGCTATCTTTTATATAAAAAATAAGAGAAGGAAAAATCGTTTGTCCTTTTTTTTGCAAGATAAACTATAGGAGAGATATTCCCGAAATGAATAAAAATGGTCCCCTTTCAGCTCGGCCGGTGTGGCTCAGTGATTGAGCATCCACCTATGAACCAGGAGGTCATGGTTCAATGCCTGGTCAGGGCACATGCCTGGGTTACAGGCTTGATTCTCAGTAGGGGTTGTGCAGGAGGTGGCTGATCAATGATGCTCTCTCATCATTGATGTTCCTATCTCTCTCTCCCTCTATGAAATCAATATAAAATATATTTTTTTAAAAATGATTACTTTTCAGGTGTAGATAGAAACAGTGGGGAAAAGGTAGAGTTGGTGGCAATACTCTGAGTGCACCTTTTTATACAGTTTGACTTTTGAACCATGTGCCTGTTTAGATATTAAAAATAATGACACTAAATAAAAAGGATGAGAGGGAAAGCAAGCCTCCAAATTGACACAAACAAACCTGAGTATCAAACTGATAATATAACCATGTAGAGAGAAGACGGAACCTTGAGCACTATGTTTTGACTGCCTAAGGAGAGAAAAACTGAAAAGAAAATCTTTAACCTCACTTAGTTTGTTAGAAGGATTGGTATTGTAATTGTGAAACTATTTCATATATAGTAGGATGGAGCAAATGAAAAAAAAACTCTGTGGGTGTTGGGAATCAGGGTTCTCACTGTGGGAGAAGGGAGATATATGAGTGGAATGAGGGCAAGTGCAGAAGACTCCTGAGGGGCTGGATTTGAGTCAGTATGAGCTCATGATTTAAAAAGATAAATGATATCCCCCAGCTCTACCTACTGGAAGAGACTAGAGGCAATGACACCCCACCGAGCAGAGCACACCCAAGTTGTATATTTTAGTGCAAAGGTAGCACTGAAAGCACCCAGGAATCCTGAGAGAAGTGGCTGACTTCAGGCCTGGGGCCGAGACATTATGAGCACATTTTAGAATATTTTGTGCCAGCAGCAAGGAAGACTAAAGAGAACATGTCAGAAGGACCCAGGAGCCAACTCGAAGGGATTCCCACTACCCATACATGAGACCATCTGAGCACTGAAAAGAATTATAAATAGTACTGGATTTTAATACATTGGGTCAAAAAATGACCTATGAGTCAATAGGGATACTAACTATGGGAAAGGGGATGAGGAGAGAAGAGCTCTCTATAAATATGAATGTTAATTAATACATGTAGAGGGAAAGATTTAAAACTCACCCATTTGTAAATACCAGTGCAATAAATGATTCAGGGCAGGATTGTGAAGGTGTGCTAAAACCACTGGCTGAAAAGTTCTAGAGGGATGGGATAGTCACAGAACCTCAAATCTCACTGCACAGATTAGCTGATTTACAAGGGGAAGGGGGAGTGCATTTACAGTGGCGGGACTGGTGGTCCCCATCTTATCTAAGTGACTGGTAGAGGGGCCCCCTGACACATGGCACAGTGAGAGTACACACCACCAACCCAGGCGGCATTTTTGCCAAAAAATATCTCATATGCTGGTTTGTCACATAAAGTCGGGTTTAACTTACTGGAGCTATTTGATTATCTTTAAATTAATGCTAAATTTCTTAGATGCTCTTCGATGTTGTGGACATGTAGAATGACCTTTTCCTTAGGTCACCTATGCTGAAGAGTTCAGAGGTCAGGTGTCATGATTTCTGCCATTTCCTTTTAAACAGTAAAAAATATCACATGCATTTTTGTAAAGATTTCCCTATCATACATATCACACATATTTATGCAAAGTGTTCACAAATGTTGAATCTAGGTGAAGGGTTTAGGGGTCTTTGTTTGATTACTTCAATTTTTCTACAGCTTTGAAACATTTCAAATGAAATCCTGGGTGTGAGTTGTTGTATATAACATGCCCATTAGAGCCCAGAGCAGGGTAGGTCTCAGTAAATGGCAGCCGCAAAGACCATCACCAACATCGTTGTCGTCTTTCAACACACTTGGCTGTGGGCTGATGAAAGATGGAGAAGGAACCACCAAATAAGTGAGCTGTGGTTTTGGCTGAGATTTTTGTGGAAAAGGGAAAAATAAAAAGCCTGTTTAGTCTCCTATCAACAGCTGCTTCTAAGATGAAGCAGCAGGGCTCCACGGCCATGAGCTTCTCTTACCAGCGGTGGATTACTTTGCAGGCCCTCAGCTGAAATGACAGACCCACAAATTCCCCAGAAGACAATTTTGTCGCAGGGACAAAAGCAGTACGTGTCCAGTCAGCTCAACGCGAGAGCTGCTCCTTGGCTTCCTGAGGGGGGTCATGGACTGGAGCCCGGCTCCAGCCTCAGCCTGTCCTGAGATGAAGGAGTCCCACGGGAGCCCCTCTTCAGGGGGACGGAACCTAATCCTGGTGGACAGAGGGTCCTGTGCTCTCTGAGACCTTCCTTCAGCCCAGCGGCTCCCGAGGTGGGACCACAGGAATAGCAATAAGACTAAGGACTGGCGTCTCATGTGCTGGTGTTTTTAATATGACGATGTCCACACATCTCTGCAGAGTAGGAATTAATGTTTTATTAATGCTGCTTAATTAAAATTTAATTTCAAAGCACTGCTGTACTCACGTTGTTTTGATAAAGGCTTTGTGAATTTTTTTCCCGGGTGACAAGGAGGAGAAAAGGAGAGGTTGGAGCAGGGCTTAAAGATGGGACTGGGGATTTGCTGCTGCATATGTAGGCAGCCCTCCAAAAGCAGCCCAAGGTGGGCAGAGCATCTGGACAAAAACCAAACACCCTGAGCTGCTTCTGGATCAAGCCCTACCATTCATCTTCTGAGTCTTGAATATTCATGCTGGGTTTCCTTCAACACTGGCTCCTCCCTGTCTAGCAACCTATGGCCACGAGTTGTTAATCCATCCTTGCCCTGCCTCTGCTTCTCAGGTCAGGCACTGGCCACATTGCCATTCCTTGAGCATCTGGGTCACTTTTTCTACACCAGCTGAGGTAGTTGTCTAGAACTCTGGAGAGCTTTCCTAGGGCAGGTGTTTGGTTTCCGGGTTGCTGTGCTAGAAGGTCCTTTGCCAATGAATATTTTTTCTCTGTGATTTAGTGCAAATGTGACAGCGGCATTTATTGAAAACATACAATCTGCTGGGCATTATTTGAATTCTTTATATACCATCCCTTTTTATGAGCACAACCTAGAAGGCACTGGAGATATTTTTATCTCCATGTTATAGATGCAGAAACCCAGGCCCTGAGAGGTTAAGCAACGTGTCCTATGTGTTGCTTAACAAGAGTCCACCTTCTCAGATGCGGCATTATTCTACCTGCTGGGGGAGGGGCTGCACATTTGTGAAACAATGGAGCCAGATCTGGGGAAAGGTCTGGAGGCTTTATGGGGGGGCCAAGCTCAGGGCCACAGCTCCTGGCTGCAGACAGAAGCCCTTGTTGGAGGCTGAAGGGAACAGGTTCACAGAAGCAGAACACTCAGATCACCCGGAGAAGCCGATCCAGGGAGAGCCGGACCCACAAAAGGTTGAGGTTCATTGCAAGCAGGAAGGCGGGGCCAAGGTGACAGAGGCTGAGTCCCCACTGCTGCTTTTACCTAGAAGTACAGTCTGTGGGGGTTGCAAGGAGAATGGCTGCAAGGAACAATTTCCAGGGAGTCAGGAAGGGTTTGTCATGAAGGTGGGCTGTGTACAACGTCAAGTTCTATGGGAACAGCGCCCCCTGGAGTTGTGCAATGCATAGTCTGCACTGAAGACCTTGGAAAAGAGCAGATGCAGAGGGGAGATTACAGAAGTAGGAAGGATAAACACCTCAGAGCTGACGGGCATGGCCCTGTAGCAGGTCCAACATCCCCCACTCCCAAGTAAGGGCGCTTCCCTGACTCACCGTCCTCCTCTGTCTGCACCACCAGCTCCTCGCTCTCCATCCGGCCCTCGGGGTTGGACAGCAGGAGCCGCAGCCGGATGGTCATGAAGGGCCGCAGACCCCGCAAGGTGTAGTGGGAGGAGGTCTGAATGACCTCCTCAGCCTCGTACTGCTGCTGGTTGAACACGTACTGGTACTGCACCGTGAGGTTGTAGCTGTGGCAGCGGGTCACCGCATAGCCAAAGGGCTCCCACTGCAGGGTCAGCTGCCGGGCCCGGATGTCCACAATCTCCACGTTCTGCGGGCCGTGCACTGGGTCTGCGGACACAAGCAAGACACAAGAGGAGACTGTGAGGAAGGTGGGTGGGGGTCCCGTAGAACTGTGGGGAACAGCTCTTCCAGCCTATCGCAGCCAGTCAGCCACTGCTTCGTGGGTTTTGCCGCATAGAATACAATTTATGTTCCTATAAATCAAACTCCTTTTTGTTACTTAAATACATGCATCTAAAAGAAACCATAACCATATAAAAAGGGGAAACATAAATCACCTGCAGTAAATAAACATTAGCCATCAAAATAAACGCAAAATTGTTAAATTCTTAAGGGTTCATCAGGGTACCACGGAAAACCATCTTGGGTACCACCCACAGCACACACAGCACTTTGGGGATGTGCTAAGAGAGAAGGCTGCAGGAGTTCTGACCTGCCTTCAATGAAGCTCCATCCTTTGCCCTGGGAAACCAGCCCCTCTCTCCAGTTACCCGCACATAGGTGCACATGCTGGGCATGCGACCCGGTGAATGTGCCTTGGAATTTCCCTTCCTTTCATTCACAACGCAACCCACCATTTCCTAGCCTTCAACCTCCTTCTCTCCTGTCCTCCTTTCCCAAACAGGCCCCTCCAGGGACATCATTCTAAACGCAGATCTGACCATGCATTCTTACCCTCGGGCTGTTTCCCACTCCATCCCTCCCACTGACCCTGCTCCCAGGCCCCCATCTAGAACATGAGCTCTGAATTACTTCATTATGAATATTCTGTTCCTAATTTATACAAATGAAATAGATGTTTTTGTACAAAACAGATGATAACAAATGAATGCATTTTCTCAATCCCCACAAGCAAAGCTCATTCTAAGGGTTAGGCATTCATTCGAGTAGAAACAGAACTTCTTTTGTCATCAGCAGTCCCACAGGTTCCGTGTGGGGGTCTCTGTGACAGAGGTTAACACTGGCTGGAGACTGAATCCATAGATGTTCCCCAAAGGACTTTACCAAGTGATGTAATCTCTGGGTCGTTGTTGTTTTTTATTTGTAAAATGGTGATAATAGTAGCCACCTTCATTCAGAGGAAAAGGGGGCGTCAAGTGAGATGCTGCTTGCAAAGCATTTAGAATTGCACCTGGAACTTAATACACACTCCGTACATGACAGTTTTTCTTTTGCTGTAATAGGAGTAGCAATAAAAATAACAATAATGTTTCATATGCTGCATCTATTCTGAATGTCTTATAAGTGTCAGTGCAGGGTAGCATCCTTATGCAAAATGATGGATTCTAGCATCTCTCTGGTCCCCTCAAAGCATAGGGTAGGGTTGCCTCTGCACCGACGCAGCCATAGGAAGGGGGAGAGGGGTCTTGATGCCCCTGAGTTTCCTGATCTGTCCTGAAATGTCTGCGACTTGTGCCAGAGCCTTACCAAAACCACTTCAAAGCACTCCTCGTTTGAGAAGGATACCCAGACGTGTCAGCAGCCTGGCAAGCCAGGGCAGACCTGCTCGCGCACTGCTGGGGACAGTGGGCAGCCTGGCCCCAGCTCAACGGAGGAGTTCACGGTCACTCTCACAGCCCTGTTATCCATGCTCACGGGTCCTCTGGGTAAAGGAGAGCCAGCCTCCCAAAAGCAAGCGGGCGACTTTGAAACTGTGACATTGAACAAGCTGTTGCTGAAGGTCCGCTGTGCTGAGCCCACGTGGAACGGAAGGTAGAAAGTGCGGTCCCCATAGGGGGGGGGGGGGGGGGGGGGGGGGGCGGGTTATGATCCGCTGTGGTGGTGGCTGCTGCTTGGCTTAACAGCTCACATTGGCACGGGGACCATGTGCAAGCACAGGGCAGTGAGAGGCTGCTTGCTGGGAGCCCCTGAGCATCCCCACCAGCTCGCCCAGCTGGAGCCTTTCTGTTTGTCCAGAGGCCAGAACGGCCCTGGCAGGGAGGCTGCCATCCCTGCTCAGAGCCCATGGAACACTCCTCCTCAGGGTGGGTTTTCAAAGCCAATGCCCGGCCCTGAGGGGGTGAGTGCCCTCAGGCTCCCTCTCCCTCTCATTAGTGACTGAGAACAGGAACATTTAAGCCCCATTGAAGTCCAAAGTTGACACCCCATTTTGTCAGATATCTTAAGATACACCATATAATGTTACATATAATTATAGGATCTCCAATACTCGCTGAAAGCACAAACAAAACAGACAGACACCTCTGATGGCCAGCAGCCAACATACTTGGTTCTATCATCTTCATCATCGTGTGACACCATAGGAGAGGGAATGCCAGCCCACTCTACAGATGAATAAACTGAGTCCCAGAGAGGCCCAGGAACTTGTATAGAGTAGCGAGACTAGCAAATGGCAGACTGGGTTTTGAACTTGTGTCTGTTTGTCTCCACACCTAGTGTGCAAAGTAAGAAGACGTGCCTGACAGAGGGGCCTGAGAAGGGGGTGGGCAGGCTCTGTGCCTGCACCTGGGGAAGGGCATCCAGCCCCTCCCCCCTCTCTGCTCTGCTCTGCTGGCTGCCTGTCTCCTCCCCCTGGTGTTTCAAACCCTTCACTTCCTTCCCCTCTGCATTTCTGGGCAGATGTCTGGCTATTGCTTTCTCATATTGTTAACTGTTTCCTTATATGTTAATCATTTTACACTGTGACAGGTTTTTGTGTGTGTGTTTTTATTTTTTTTAAATCTTCACCAGAGGATATGTTTTTATTGCCTTTCAAGAGAGAGGAAGGTGAAGAGTGTGAGAGAGAAACATCAATGTGAGAGAGAGACATCGATCGGTTGCCTTCCATATGTACCCTGACAGGGGAACCCACAACATAGGTATGTACCCTGAACAGGAATCCAGCCTGCAACCTTTTGTTGTTTGGGCTGACACTCCAACCCACTCAACCACCCGGCCAGGGCTGCACTGTGACAGATTTTTAGAAACTGCCTCTGCCCAGTGGAAGGTAAGTTCCTGAGAGCAGATGATCTCTGCTCCCCCTCCAGCCATGCCCAGCCTGAGACCCAAAGAGGAGACCTCAGCAACTGCCAGTCAAATGGATGCCCTGTTTTGTAAGTCTCACCATGACCTGTGAGGGCAGCCTGGTCCTTGCCTCACCCTAGAGCAGCGGTTCTCAACCTGTGGATCTCGACCCCTTTGGGGGTCGAATGACCCTTTCACAGGGGTCGCCTAAGACCATCGGAAAACACATATATAATTACATATTGTTTTTGTGATTAATCACTATGCTTTAGTTATGTTCAATTTGTAACAATGAAATTGGGGGTCACCACAACATGAGGAACTGTATTAAAGGCTCGTGGCATTAGGAAGGTTGAGAACCACTGGCCTAGAGGAAAGCGTAGGTCTATGAGCTGAAATGGGTGCTCAGAGCCATATGGTAAAATTTGAAGTTCACAAGGGTCCTGTGTTTCTGTGTCTGATCTGCACCGTGACACCCTGAGGGATTGGAACCAGGGGAAGGACACAAACAAGGGGCATGTCACAGCCATCAGGACCTGGGGAGGCCTGGGGAGGATACTGTGAGAAAGCCCAGAACCATCAGGCAGGAGTGGCCTGAGCTTCAGGAGCCTGGGGTCGCCGCAGGGGGCAAAGACCACTGCCCTGTCCTCTCATCTGCCCTCTGGCTACTACAGCATTCTCCCCATCGCTCACCTGTGCAGGTGTGCACGCAAACATCTCTCTGCTTCTCCGAAAGGAAGGAGCAGGCAGGGGCACCTGTTCAAAGAGGGCAAGAGATGCTGTACGCCTGCCACCGAGCACAGAGACTTCCTCCCAGAGCTGGAGGCCAGGGCACAGGAAAAGTCATTGTTCCCTCCGCAGCACCTGTGACTGACTGTCCTCAGACACACAGGGACTGGGGAGCCAGACAGAGCATGGCCTGAAGCCAGACTCTGGCGCTCATGAGCTGCGTGACCTTGGGCAAGGGCACTTCAGCACTTAGCCTCCACTCCCTCATCTATAAAGGGAAAATTATTGCGCTAATCTCAGAGGGCTGTTAATGAGTATAAAATGAACTGAAGAGAGAGCGAAAGGAATTGCCTCTGCCTGACAGTGGGCATCCCTCTTAGATGGACGGGCCTTGCGTAGAGGGGAATAGAAGCTGCATTCCCAGGGCCCTGGGCTCAGTGGTGCTCAGGCCTCGGAGGAGGAGGAAAGTGGATTCCCTGGGTTGTTGGGATGGACCAGGAGAGGATGGGTGATCAAGATGGAAGATGGTTGGATGGAGCCCAAGATGACTGCTCTCTGTGTGACTCCTGGATCTCCCATACAGTCCTCAGAATACAGCAAAAACGGTTTGCTGTGATTGGACTTCCGTGGGTTTGAGAAAGGGCTGAGGTTTGCCTGACTCACTCAGGCCAAAAGGGATACCGCCTGGAACCCAGTGACCAGCAGCAAAGGGGACTTGGCAAAGATGTCCATGTGCTATCACGCCTTGAGCTAGGATGTTGAGGGTTCTCCGCACTGCGGAGATGAAGAGGCCAAGGAAGTCTCAGAGCATACGCACAGGGCAAGGAGGCGGGCTACACCGTGTAGCAGGCTGTGTCTGTAAGTCCGAGAACTGCCATGCAGAACGGGAGAGGTGGTGGCTATTTATTGAGCACTAGCCCGGGCTAGGAAGGCACCTGCAGGATGAGAATGCTTCTCTGGCTTAGGGAATGGAGGCCAGTGAAAGAACATGTCGTACCCAGGGCCACAAGCCAGGTCCCCGGTTCTGGGCTCCCGAGGCTCTTTGCACAGATGTCCAGCCCACTCAGCACTTGTCATGCTTTCTAGGAATTGCTGGTTCAGTTAGTCATCACTTCTCCCAGCTGCAAGGGACCCATTCTGTTTGTCCAGAGACCCCAGCACATGGCACAGGGTCTGCTGAGGGCTAGTTCATGTTTGTTAAAACGAGAGGAACAGATGGCAATCTGCCCCTGGGAGCTGAGCCCAGACCTCCAACACCACGTCCCGTTCCGTAGCCTCCAGCAGGCCACCAAGTCTTTAAGGGGAACGTGTCTATTTTTGCATTCCAGCAAGAGGATGTCCTAAAATCCCAGACA